AATAAATATGAGTTAACCCCTAGCATTGCGTTGCAACTTTTTGACTCTTTTGTCGGCTCAGTGCTCAGCTATTCTAGTGCTGTTTGGGGATTTTCTAAATCAAAGGATATAGAGCGATTACATCTTCAATTCTGTAAATCTATATTAGGAGTGAAACAAAGTACTTATACTGCAGCAATCTATAGCGAATTAGGTCGTTATCTATTATTTATTAAACGCTAAGTGCAAATTATTACATACTGGCTTAAAATAATTAATAGCGACAATATCATTTTGAAAACTGCTATGTACGCTTCGTTTGAATTACATGAAAACAACAATCAATGTTGGGCTTCTAAAATACATGGAATATTAAATGAGTACGGGTTTTCTGATGTTTGGAACAACCCATTTCAATACGAAGCCAAATATTTTGTTAAACTTTATAAACAAAGAATGATTGACTGCTTTTTGCAAAAACTTTCTAGCGATATTTCAAACAGTCCATTGTTAAGTAATATATATGTACATTTGCATAACTCATTTGAAATGGCAAACTACCTGAAAATTCTCCATAACAGAACTTATAGAAATTGCATAGCAAGATTAAGATTATCGTCACATAAACTTCGGATTGAATCAGGTAGATATGGTGCTAATAGATTACCCCGAGAGGAACGCATATGTCAGCTTTGCGATAGTAATGAAATAGAAGATGAATTCCATTTTATATGTGTTTGTAATAGCTACTCTAATACACGTTCTCTTTACATTAAGCAATACTACTACAGAAGACCAAGTATGTTCAAATTGATTGAATTATTAAGAACCAAAAAGAAGTCTGAATTAATAGGTTTAGGTAAATATTTGTATTATGCTACAAAACATCGAATTGAACAACTAAATGCTTTGTAAATCAATGTATAAATTTGTCTCGTTGTATTTGAAAGTGCTATTGTTTATTTCTTGAAATTACTTGATAATGTGTCTAGTATGAAACATTGTTAAATGGAATCTTATCACAGCATATGATTAAGTTTAAAATCCATTTTTTATATCTTAAAGAATGTAAACGCTTTATAATAGATAAGCTCACTTTAGTATTAAATGGTGTTAACGTTCATTCTCCAAAAATATGCAAATTGAAAATTTGTGCTACAACTTTGTTCATGTACCATGATATTGTGTTTGATTGTACTGTATAAATGTGTGTAATATGACTATGCACTGAATGTATACGTCAATAAGTTATCTATCTATTTTTTCATTTGCATATTATAACTTGTATTTAAGAATAAGAAGTTCTTGCGAAATTTTCCTGTTTCTTTAAGTGACTTTAGGCCGAGTTGACTTGGAGCCGGGTTGACTTAAACCGCATAGAAATGTATCATCTATATGTACAAATTATTAAAATATATTAATTTTAAATAAAGTCAAAGCATCAGTAAGTATACAATATAAAGAAAATTACAGTCGAAATTTACTTATTAATTTATACACATAACTGTTGTCTAAATTGTTAATCATAAATTGTATAATTTTATTTCTTATAATCATTTTTTTGGCAGATTTTTTTCTATATTTTGATGTCTTTCGGTACGCCGTCAAAAATGCTGAAATACATGTATGTACTCAATATCGTACTGTATTTTTATAAAATGTAAATATCTGTTCTATTAGAATATCTTTTTAGTATATGTTATAGGTTATATACAGAGTTTTAAGAAATTAATTTTCGAGCGAACGAAGTGAAGTGAGAAAATAAGTTTCTTAAAACTCTGTATATAACCTATAACCGACTTACAGTTAGCCCCGCCGATTAAAGTCGAGTGCATTATGTAAATAGGTTCGGTATAAATTTAATACATAGAGGTGAGTTACAGCACTGTATGGTAAATATTTCGGCAAAATTTAAACAAAATAGAGGACAAACCTTGGCGAACTATGCAAGAAGGTATTTTGTAGTGCTAACTCCCTTGTGATCTAAAAATGACTCCTAAATTAAGACACATTACGACACGAAACATTTAAGTAGCTCATAACATTTGATCATTTTATTGCTAGAAATTTTATGATAAAATTATAATGTGTTGCCAAGAAATAACTGTATACTTTTATGGAGAAAGTTGAATAAAGTTAAGATAAAAACAAAAATTGTGTTGCAATCTCAAATGTACATACATGTATTTGTGTGTGTATTTGAGTTTATTTATACATTATAATTATTATTATTATTATTATTATTCTTATTATTATTTTATTATTATTATTATTATTATTATTATTAACTATTATTATTATCATTATTATTATTATTATTATTATTATTATTTTTATTATTATTATTATTATCATTAACTATTATTATTATTATTATTATTATTATTATTATTATTATTATTATTATTATTATTATATTGTACTCGCTACCGGTTATATGCGCGACTCAGAATGATGCCCAAATCCAGAAGCTTCTCCTTTCTTTAGCGTGCCAAATGTTAAACGACTCAAATAAAGTACCTAGATTTTAAGTCTCTTCCTAAAGACTGTTGGCCAGCCCGGGAATCGAACCCACAATGTCGAGATCACAAGTCGATTGAGCTATGCGGGCTGGCTCACATACATGTATGTATTTGTGAAGCAGTTAAATACTAAGTTGCCACGTCGCTATGGGAAGTGTAGGCAAAATAAACAACTGTTTAATAAAATTGTTATAGGAACATCAACTATTTTTGTCTTAATTGTTATTAAATTTTATTATTAATATAATATTAATTCAAATATAATATGGCAGCATTTGCAATACTGATATTGTTCACTCTCTTTTTTGCTGCAGGTGGTTATTATAATACATGTATTTCTATCATGTTGACAATGTTAATGTCAGAAACACTGCCATTTATTGTAAAAGATTTGCTATGGACATATGAAAAAATCGGATGTACTTCTGATACTTCAGTCTGTTTCTGTATGGTTCTGGATTCAAACATGTTTTTGTGGATTCATCATATATTAAAATCAAAGCTAAAGGTAATGTTTATAATTCCTTCTGACCAAAGTCCCTCCGAAGAACGTTAAAATCCCAAAGTTATAATCAAAAAACCTTTTTCATCAAACACTTGTTTGATAATAAAAAAAATTGTTTCGGCAAAATTTAAACAAAATAGAGCGATTTAACTGGCAGACTGTTAAAAAGTAGCTGACTGAACGCTTGTACTGAACTTATATGTAGTAGCTATGGGACATGCTTATCTTTTTAAACTTTATCTTTTAAACTTCATGTTTATGTTATACTTTGTTAAATTAGAGTCTTACGAATTAAATTTATAAAACATATGTTCTGTTCTGTTCTGTTTTATATGTGTACTTAAAATCATGCCCGATATTTGAAAACTTCGGAAATTTGCATTTGTGAACTCACCTACCTAATGTGTTCATTCAGTTGTGAACTAATTAAGACGTGGCCCATTTGTTCGACAAAGTTTAATGTCATTTTTCCAGCTCACCCGATCGTGTCGTCGGCATCAAATTCTTTCTTTATATTAAAGGCCCATTATGTCTCACAAAAGTCTGTCATTTTTATTTTTCAAAAACCTTTTTTATTTTGGGTATCTTGTTACAGTTTCAAATAAATTCTCATTTACCACATAGATGAACTATCTTTTCCTTTCTTTGCTCTGCTGGTAATAGTAATAATTATATTGAATTAGTATATTTTATTGAAATTTATTCAACAATTAACCATTAAGGAGCCATAACTGTGCCACAAGAAATTCAAGCAGAAAATCTTGATACTATGCACAACTAGGCATGGTGAAAAACATTCCTGTGAAGTTTCACTAAAAAACGCCTATCGGTTTTAGCGATGAAGCGCGGACAAGATTATCAAACAGACGGACGGACGAACAGTGCGATTACTATATGCTGAACCTTCGGGGCATACAAAGTATATATGACATGAGGCATCCGTATGTTGTTCTACATAAACTACATGTATCAAATATCTGTGGTTTCCTGATTGCTTTAGATAGTGAAAACTGTTGGGACATAATGTGAAAAATATTGCTTTGATTACGAAGTATAACGCCTTTCTAGTCCGTTTAGTTCATATGACTGATCAAAAGTATAAACATTATTGTCGTTTGAACAAGTTACACCACTTTCATTACTTGCGAAATGTATGATCATTTGATCTAAACCATGTTTTGAAAGAGGAATAATTTATTCAAGTAGGAGTATTGGAACCACCCAACTAGAAATTGCCGAAAAGTTTGAACTAAAAATACCACTAGCACAACAATTATGTCGTGCTGAACGATCTTCAAGGATCGAAAATATAACATTTATTGGTTAAATGCACGGGAAGACTTTTTACAGCAGCCACGGCACAAATAACACATAAAAATAGATAAATACAGAATCTCTAAAGAAAGCCCAACACGACAAAATTGAAAATGTTGCAGGCTCGGTTTGATTGTTTGACTATGATTGATTATTTGACTCGATTCAGTTTGACTATGATACAAAAGAGAAAGAACATCAAAACACTCGGCAACACTACGCCCCCCCCCCCCGTACACATCAGATAGACTCGTGTTTCAATGCCCTTTCTATTACATATCTATCATTTCACACTCTATCAAATGTCTTTCGACAGTCAAGGTAGCATACGTAATCATTGCTATTTTTATTTTTTGAAAAAATACATGTAGACCTACGTATCACTAAGTGTGAGCGAAATTTTTGCCAAATTTTAGGGGTACTTTTTATTTTGTACGAGTCCATAAATTTGCAATTCTACTACAATTTAATAATATCAAAAGCTGACAGCTGAAAACTGTAACTCTGATTCTATTATATCTTATTTCTGCATTGAAAAATTAATTGCTTTCTGTAATAATAGATCTCAGGTGGGTGATTTCAGACCAACTTGACTCTCTTGTACATTGTATAAAACTTTCAAACATTATATTCCTTTAATATTAAAGAGCAATAATGTTTACTTGATATTCGAATTTACTAGTGTTAAATTTGTTTTCATTTGTTTTGTTTTTTAACTTTGAAAAGTCAGACAATTTAAAGATAATTTATAGAAGTAAGTAGAGTTTATATTATTCTTTCCTGCACCTTTATGCAGATAATGGCAAGCTTTACAGACAAATTTAAGATGACTCTTTCTAAGATGTCACCGACACAACTAGCGGAATACTATTCAAGCTGGGCTGAAAATATGGGATATGAAAAGGTATTTCTTAAAGAAAATTTACTTTATTTTGTTCGTTTGTTTTTGTTGTTGTTGTTGTTTTTTGTCTGTTTTATTTGTGTGTGTGTTTTATGTGTTTGGTTTTTTTTTTCCATTTATTTATTTATCAATATTTATTTCTATTATTATAATTGGGTATTAATTGTCGTTTTGCATTGTATTTATAAAAATGATACGAACTTTTTAACTGTGAAGTTATATTTAATCAAAAAAGCACAATCGCAATTAATTCTTAAATCTCCGTAAGACTTACTAACAGAGATGTAGATAAAAAAAATTATGTCTATGTTACTAAGAGGATTCCAAACACATTTAAGAATATACTGACCGGATATGGTGTTTCCGTGAACATTCAATCGAATCTTCTCAAACTTCGGAAAAGTTATTAGATTTGATAAGGCATTTTGCATTTAAACACAATGTTATAAATATAGAAGGAATGGAACATAATGTTTAAACATAACATAGATTTTCTGTTTATCATGTTTTCTAGGACATGAACGAGTGCAAGTTCCGTGCGTCTTCAATAGTTGCTGACGAAATGGCAGCGTGCTTCCCTGAAAAAAGAGATCAGCTACATATCATGGACATTGCATGTGGAACTGGTCGTGTTGGGACTGCGGTAAGTAATATTCACTATTGTAGATCATGTCTGGACTGCGGTAATTAATTTTAACTGTTGTAGGTCATGTCGGGACTGCGGTAAGTAATTTTAACTATTGTATATCATGTCGGGACTGCAGAAAGTAATGTTAACTATTGTTGGTCATGTCGGGACTGTGGTTAGTAATTTTAAGTATTGTAAATCATGTCGGGACTGCGATAAGTAATTTTAACTATTGTAGCTCATGTCGGGACTGCGGTAAGTAATTTTAACTATTGTAGGTCATGTCGGGACTGCGGTAAGTAATTTTAACTATTGTAGATCATGTCGGGACTGCGATAAGTAATTTTTACTATTGTAGGTCATGTCGGGACTGCGATAAGTAATTTTAACTATTGTAGGTCATGTCGGGACTGCGATAAGTAATTTTTACTATTGTAGGTCATGTCGGGCCTGCGGTAAGTAATGTAAACTATTGCAGGTCATGCCGGGCCTGCGGCAAGTAATGTAAACTATAGTAGGTCATGTCGGGCCTGCGGTAAGTAATTTTAACTATTGTAGGCCACGTCGGGACTGTGGCAAGTAACGTTAACTATTGTAGGTTATGTCGGGCCTGCGGTTAGTAATGTTAACAATTGTAGGTCATGTCGGGACTGCGGAAAGTAATTTTACTATTGTAGGTCATATCGGGCCTGCGGTTAGTAATTTATTACTATTGTAGGTAGGTCACACCGGGCCTGCGGTTAGTAATATTAACAATTGTAGGTCATACCGGGTCTGCGGTTAGTAATTTTAACTATTGTAGGTCATACCGGGCCTGCGGTTAGTAATCATACCGTGCCAGCGGTTAGTAATTTTAACTATTGTAGGTCATACCGGGCCTGCGGTTAGTAATCATACCGTGTCAGCGGTTAGTAATTTTAACTATTGTAGGTCATACCGGGCCTGCGGTTAGTAATATTAACTATTGTAGGTCATGTTGTGACTGCGGCAATGTTAGCTGTTACATTCTATATGAGTTACTAAGTCGATTATGCAAAGTAAGGGTTTAGAGAAATTTGAAAATTATTCAAAAAAGATACTTTACATTTCTTCCGTATTACCCCTTACCATCTGGAACCGGAAGTGCAAGTGATTAACCTCAGAGCCAGGCCAGTGTAATTATTTTTGAAGTCTGACCAGCAGGCTTTATGCTAGCACTGTCAGTAACTTTATGTATGGGTAAGAGTTTGTATTTAGACGACCGTAGGGAGTCTTATCAAACTCTTACCCATATAACTGCAAATCGGCTCTTACAACTTGATATCAGATGAAAATATAGAAAGTGTCACCTCTTTAATTTAGCATAACATTATTTTTCACCGGCAGTCACGTACAAACAAGGATGGGGTCCAATTACTTAATCTGGCATGTAAAACAGTGAGTTTTCAACAATACCTAGGATTGTTTATGCAATTCATTCCTGTCATATAAAACAAAATAATGTTTTTCTTACTTTTTGCTAGAAAATATTAACAGCCAGCAATTAATAATTGACATTTTTCTTAGAGTTAAAAGGATATCAAAAAGTTACTGTGTACTCATTTGTATCTGCGAGCTGAGCTCCATGTGTATTATCTTTGTAATAAATTTGAATCCTCACATTGCTACAGTGTTTAGAAACACCTGACCTTGGCTTATTAAAATATGCCAATCACAATTTTTACTATCAGCACTGGTTTCTTCATGAAAAAGCGGTTACACTAATTACTGCCGAGTAAGAGCCGATTTGCAGTTATATTCAAATAAGTTACACTTTAAATGGAATGTTCAAATTGAAAGCAGCGCAAATTCTTTTTTTGCACAATGTGGCCGACCCACGTGACCTTTTGGATATCGTAGTCACGCATTTCACTCGATTTAAGTAATATTTTTACCGTTTCTTTGTGAATAGTTTGGAGATAAATATAGATCTGTATTTATACATTACATTATTATTAACAACTGCATATATATATATTACATGCAGTTGTTAATAATAATGTTATATCTATATATTTCTATTCATCATGTCAAATGATTAATAAATGCATGTTGGTTGCCAAATTTATTTAACACGGCTGTAACCTTTAATGAAAGAAAATAGATGCTAAAGGATTAAGTTATAAAGATAATAATATTAAGGGTATTTCATTCGTGTAAATTGCAATGAATTTTGAATCATTCGGTACATGCGGTATTATTTTAAAAGCTTTTTGTCCTACAAATTCTACAAAAACAATCACTCTAAAAGGCAAGCTAAAGTATGTTTGCCATGGGAACCGAAAGAAAAATACTGAAAAAAACTTTAAAATTGTCCCCAGGAATCATGGGTTTTCATTATATGTTTACAGAAGAAAAAAATTTAACAGTCATCTTCTCTTAAACCATGTAAGTTTGATCTCAGGTAGTTTGCCTCTACAAAGTGTGTTCAAATTATAGCCCCTAGGGTTAAAGCTGCATGCCTCTAGATAGATGATAGTTTTTATGAAAATTTTGAATTTTTTTTTAAAGTATACAACCAAAAGGAAGCTATTTATACATTACAAACAGCACTCACAAACTGAGGTCAAAATATTCGGAAATAGCCATTACTGCGTTAGTAACGCAGTAGAAATATGCTTATATGTACATACTGAAAAATTTATCTATAGTCGCATGAAACATGTAAATTATTACTAACATCTTAATTTTGTTTTTCTTTGCCTGAAATCTTAGTATATTTTTCTCAGGTTTGATTTTATTGACATATTTTTGTTTCTCTGCAGCTTTGAAATTGGCACTGTCCCGAGGGGGGGGGGCATTACATATGCAAATGCTAGAGCCCTAGAACGCATTATAAAATTACATTTGGGTGATCTAGCATCGATGTAATGCTATAAAGCCTGGTATGATGTTTAAATTGTTGAAAAAAAATTAATAAAATATGTATAGGATATACATTTTTTTCTCTATAAATACAGTTTTTATTTTCATCGAGTGGTATGAAAATAAATATTTCACGAGTGGCGGTAGCCACAAGTGAAATGTGATAATTTTCATATCACAAGAAGAAAATTCCTATATGTATAGAAAAGAACTTGAATTTTCTGTTATTACATTCTTTTTCTCTTTTACGACCTCACATTTCTTAAAAATTCTCTTTTAATTTGTATAACGACTGAATTAAGAAGAAAGTAGTCCGACAAGTAACCAGTGAGAATACGAAACATATTTCACTGCTGTTAAAAATAAATCTTTTTAAGGTGAAAATACGGAAATTGAAAATACGCATTTTATTTCATCAATATTTCTCAATATTTCATTATAAGTATATATAATAAAAGAAATATACGATACTTAAACTTTTCCTTTCGATTAGAAAAATGTAACAATTCAGGCATACAGCTTCTATGGTCAATACTTATTGAACTTCAAAATTGTAACATAGAATGCCTCTTCTACACATGAATATTGTACGTAAACCGGAACAAAATATTATTTGATATTTTAACTAGGGTATTTATCCGTTTCGAAATGATTTTGTGCATGCCTCATTCGCCTTTAAAGCTTTTATCTACCATGTTTATTTCATAGAAGTAAAACAATAATTTTTGCTGCAGATATATAGCTTTATACACTTTAAATTACAAAAAGCCATGTTTTCTTTTACAATCATTAGAGTCTAGACATTTGCACTTAATTTTAATTAAATGTTTAAACTTGCACTTTTATGTGGTTATGAAATTTGTGGTTTTGGAAAAAAGACATTATTGGCAGACATTCAATTTTATTAATCAAATAACGAAAACTACTTCTAGCGTAACAGTATGTGCATGTATTGCTGATTGCCATTAAATGAAAAAGTTGAAACGAAATATACGAAACATAAAACTTCATAAACAGAAATTTGAACAGATAACATCTTTAATTGTAGGCCATAAATTAAAGGAAGCTTTCCGCTTACATGTATAAAATTAATGCAATTAAGTAGAGTTACCCGAATTCAATTCGAACTTTAAATGAATAACTGGCGTCTGGATGATATTTTCTTCATTCTTCTACTCAAGAAAGTCTTTAAGTTAAGTTACCAATGATTCGTTGAAGATACAGTCTATTTTGTTGATCCTTTTTTTTTCGCTCTTGATTGGACCGAAATTGCATGGGTTAATTTCAACCTTCAAATCCTTACTGGCTACATTTGTATTTTATCTTCTGAAAACAGTTTGCTATTACATATGTATAGTACAATTGCAAGGCAAATTTCAATAGTAGACATGTTGTCTTTCTGTTATGTATGGTGGCTGATTTGGTACACTTTGCGTGTTGCGTTGTTGATAGCGACAACACAACCTACATCGTTATCGCCTATTTGTCTTGTCGCTAGCGAAACGCGCCAAAACGCGCGTTGTCGCACTGTCATCCTGTCGCTAGCGAAGCATGTAAATCTGTACGTTGTCGTGCGGCGTATTGTCGCTTGGCTAATATATATACAAATAGCCAATCCTTCGATTTGAGCTGAGTGACAATGTGACATCGCGGCAACACGCCGCACGACACGCGCTGTTTCTCGAGCATCATTTACGACAGGACGGCAAGACGAAAGTCCGACAACACGCCGTTTGGCGCTTTGTTGTACTGTCGCTTGTGACAACACGACGCTCGAAAGTATTCCAAATCAGCCACCATATTTATGTAATAAATAAAATATGTTCTGCCTAATTCAACAATTCCGCCAATGTAAAGAACCTGAATTATTTTCTTCACAGCTGGCAGCGTATGGGTTTACGAACATAGACGGCCTGGATTCTTCATCAGGAATGTTAAATGTGTGTATGAAAACTGGACATTACCACAACCTTTATGAGGAATATTGTGGTTATAATACATTACCTATCCAAGATGGTACGATTTTTATTTGTAGTGTTTAACAAGCCGTTTAATAGAATGCTTTTATTTCTTACGTGATAGGCGTTTATAAGCTACTTTCAATATTTTGTTGGTGTCCGTGACCAAGTGGATAAGTTTGTTTGGCTTCAAACAACTTGCCCCTTACCGCTATGTGTTCGAATAATGTCAGAGACCTTGAATTCTTCTATATAAGAATGATATCAAGCAAGCTGGCAGAACGTCATTGGTTCTACTCAGCTGCCTACTTGTGTCTGATATAATGTATAGAGGGGCACCTGTGGTCTTCCTTCTCCACGTGACCGTTATAATATATAGTGTCCGTATGACTTAGAACACAACAATACAAACAAACAAACATACAATCCACATGTGTTATCATTTTGATTCAACGCATTGTATTTGATGGTCTAACCAGTATTACTACGGTTGGTTAACACACAGATTTTGCAAGTCTTATTTACATTGCATTTATTGTTAGGTAAGTAACAGCGGTTCAGACAAGAGTAAGAGATATGGCGTTGTTATAATCCAAATAACTTAATTTTAACACATGTACGAGGGGTGTCCCAGAATTACGTGGACTTTTGCTGTTACTCAAAAACTACTGAAAATAAAAACAAACAAAATTAACATGAACAAAATGCAACTTTATTGCATAAGTACAAAAAATTTCAAAGTTGTCCGGCAACTGGATCAGTGTCTGTGAGCAGGGTAATGAGACAAGGGGTAGCGGGTGCGGGGCAGTCCATTCCGACGTTACGACGTCATTCCGGTGGCGTCGCTAGTTGTTAATAAATGCGTGGCGTCGAATGTCAGTTTTTTTTCAACATAGTCGCCGCCTAACTCAATACACCTATGGTGTCGATATATCCACTGGTCGTACACCGCCCTCTCTAATAATAATAAAGCATACTATTAACTTTTGTTACGATAATAGTGTTAAAGACGACGGTGATAATGCTGACGCCATATTATTATTGTTATTTTATTATTATTATTTATCATTATTATTTATATTATTATTATTATTATTATTATTATTATCATTATTATTATTATTGTTGTGGAGTTTATTTTGTACGCAAAGACAATGTGTGTTAACAAGGGAAATAACCTATCATGCGCACTGCTTACTATAGCAGTTTGAGTTCACTTTCTTAAAAGCTGAAGCGGATAAATTGCGTTTACAATAATAAATTGTGATTAGCTTAATTAAAAAAAAAAAAATTTAAACACAAAATTATTGCTTACCCTTGAATAGTACTCAGCATTGACCTTGGTGTAACGCCTGTCCCGATCTATGACGTCCTTGACTTCCTTCATTGACGCCGCAGTCAACGTTGACTTTCTCCCACGACCCTTGTCGTCTTCAATGTCCTCTCGGCCGTCTCGAAAACGCTTATGCCACTTGAAAACGAGTGATCGACAAACAGGAGGTATCACTTTTGAAGTCTCCAACATTTCCTGCGTCTGTGTTGGCGTCTTCCCAAGATTAACACAAAACTTGATGATAGTCCGATGTTCCGCGTAATCCGTGGACGTCATTTTTTGTTAAATATCCAAGAGCAACGGTTGTCAGTTGACCGCTGGTAAACAATAACGGAAACAGCTATGACGTCAAAATTTCAAACGAATGTTCATATGACGTCACTGCATATGCTTATGACGTCGCGCTTTATTTTACGTATAAATACGCAAGATATACGAAAGTAAAGACAACTTAGTAATACAAAATATTGGACTGCCTCCGCCCTGCGCATACTGCGTTACTATAGCGACGTAAAATATAGAGAAGCAATGTTAGAAATTTGAAAATAATGGACATATTCATTAAGGATATGTTAAAGGTATTGTGTACAAATTTGCTAAAAAAATGCATTAAAAAATAAAAAAAAGGGTTATAGCAAAATTCCATGTAATTCTGGGACACCCCTCGTAGTTTTGGATTGAAAATACGTAACGTACCATAATATTCATTTGTCTGTATGATGTTCTTTCTTGTGTTGATTATTATTATTATTATTTCAAATATAGATGTATATGATTGTTTGGGTGTAGCGGGTGGAATTGGAGGGGGTCATATACCTTGCTCTGGAATAATGGAAATGATCCGAATCGTAAAACCAGGTGAGTTTGTCTTTCATCTTTTGTACTATAATTAAGCCTTGGGAATGCGATCGTTTTCTATTTTCAAAAACTTTTATTTTTTGATAGCTTGTTACAGTTTCCAAAAAAAACACTATTTGCCATATAGTTAAACTATCTTTGCTTCTTTTGCTCTGTTGGCAATTTAAAGAATTTGTGTATTGGTATTTTGTATGAAGTCTACTACTTTGTTATCATAGTGTTACCTTTAATTTAGGACACGTTCAGCACTGCACAAACATCTTACATGATTTTAATCCACCTGAAAGTGAAACACAAACACTTATTTGACATATATATAAGATGAATTTCTGAGGCATAATGTGCCTTTAAAATGACGTCGTATGTCCCTTTTGTAACTGACGTACAGAATGAAGCCAGTAAATGAAATTTATTATTTACGTCACTAAAATTCTAAATGACATTTATACATGTGCTAAACATGGAACTATTTTTTTCAGGCGGACTTATAATAATAGCGATGAGGAAAGAGTTTGAAGAACGCGTGGGCAAGGATATAGAGGACATGGACGCGCTTATATCAACAGTGGAAAATAAAAACAAGGCGGAATTAGTTGAAAGGCGGGAAGTGGATAAATATTTTGTTGATAGAGACGGGATTCTCTTTAAAATACGAGTGAAATAAAAATGACACTACTTTTTGTAAATTGTCAGTGACTAGTTTTTGCAAATATATATATATATGAATAAACGATAAAAAATTATAATTATATTGAATAAGATGGAAGAATCGGTCATTTATTGTATATTTATATGTCATTTTATATGTCCTTATATATGCTATGTTTTAACAACCGTTACTTTTGTAAACAAAATTTAGAAAACGGGTTACCGCCGTATAAAGTACTGCAATATAGTTGTCCTCTATTTTTGTTTTCGATTTGCCATAATCATATATGAATATCGCCATCAAACTAGTTTTTTCTTGACTATAATAATACTGTAATTATATAAGTATGGTAAAGTATATATGTCGCAGTTCACCCATTTATTCTGGATGTTGGTCGGTCTTTGGACTTAAGAATAGGATATGACTGTAAGACTATATTGCGCTTAAATTCTACTGAACTTTGCTCTGGTGAATTCAAAGTGGCTTACCTCCGTCTTCGTATGATAAACTACAAAAACCACCACATCATTATATACGTGGTACAAGAGGAAACATGTAAAAATTGAAAAAAAATAACTGATTGACGTAACCCTGCGACATCCTTGTACATACTGTGACCAATAAGACAGTGTTGACCCCGAGACATACCGGTATGAACTTGTTCGCGTTTATCTGTAATAACGAGTCCTATCAGCATAACAAAAAACATGTTACTCGTATTCGTTCATTTTTTTTTAATTTGAAACTTTTGTTCCTTAAGAAGTTGCCCGAAAGTTTGTCAAGATCAGTGGAGAGAACTCTTGTAATAAAACGTTATATATGCATTGTGCACTTTCGTAAGTTATCACCCTTCTACACATATGAACGTCTACGCAACTCGACTCCAAGAATCACTTTCGGTTCTAGCTAAATGTGGATTAAATGAATGGCCAAACACTGATCCTTTTCTGTGAAAAGAGTACAATCACCTGTACCGAGCGGCCAGATATCAATCTTTGTAAAAGAAACGTGCTTAATAAAATATTATAACGCACCTTAAAAGAGTAGATGGTTAAGTTTAATTCGTAATACTTTAAACAACGACCTGGGATTTACCTCATACATTCTGCAAACATTACCAACCTTTTGGTGTAATTAGTAATACTTTAAATAACGACCTGGAATTTAACTCATATATTCTGCAAACATTACTGACCTTTTGGTGTTATTAGTAATACTTTAAATAACGACCTGGAATTTAACTCATATATTCTGCAAACATTACTGACCTTTTGGTGTTATTCGTAATACTTTAAATAACGACCTAGAATTTAACTCATATATTCTGCATACATTACTGACCTTTTGGTGTTATTCGTAATACTTTAAATAACGACCTAGAATTTAACTCATATATTCTGCAAACATTACTGACCTTTTGGTGTTATTCGTAATACTTTAAATAACGACCTAGAATTTAACTCATATATTCTGAAAACATTACTGACCTTTTGGTGTTATTCGTAATACTTTCAAATTAAATAACGACATAGAATTTAACTCATATATTCTGCAAACATTACTTACCTTTGGTGTTATTCGTAATTCTTTAAATAACGACCTAGAATTTAACTCATATATTCTGCAAACATTACTGACCTTTTGGTGTTATTCGTAATACTTTTAATAACGACCTAGAATTTAACTCATATATTCTGCAAACGTTACTGACCTCTTGGTGTTATTCGTAATACTTTAAATAACGACCTAGAATTTAACTCATATATTCTGCAAACATTACTGACCTTTTGGTGTTATTCGTAATACTTTAAATGACGACCTGGAATTTAACTCATATATTCTGCAAACATTACTGACCATTTGGTGTTATTAGTAATACTCCAGATAACGACGTGGAATTAAACTCATATATTCTGCAAACATTACCGACCTTTTGGTGTTATTAGTAAAACTTTAAATAACGACCTGGAATTTAACTCATATATTCTGCAAACATTACTGACCTTTTGGTGTTATTAGTAATACTCCAGATAACGACCTGGAATTAAACTCATATATTCTGCAAACATTACTGACCTTTTGGTGTTATTCGTAATACTTTAAATAACGACATGGAATTTAACTCATATATTCTGCAAACATTACTGACCTTTTGGTGTTATTCGTAATACTTTAAATTAGGACCTAGAATTCAACTCATATATACTGAAAACATTACTGACCTTTTGGTGTTATTAGTAAAACTTTAAATAACGACCTGGAATTTAAGTCATATATTCTGCAAACATTACTGACCTTTTGGTGTTATTAGTAATACTCCAGATAACGACCTGGAATTAAACTCATATAATCTGCAAACATTACTGACCTTTTGGTGTTATTCGTAAAACTTTAAATAACGACATGGAATTTAACTCATATATTCTGCAAACATTACTGACCTTTTGGTGTTATTCGTAATACTTTAAATAACGACCTAGAATTTAACTCATATATTCTGCAAACATTACTGACCTTTTGGTGTTATTCGTAATACTTTAAATAACGACCTGGAATTTAACTCATATATTCTGCAAACATTACTGATCTTTTGGTGTTATTCGTAATACATTTAATAACGACCTAGAATTTAACTCATATATTCTGCAAACATTACTGACCTTTTGGTGTTATTCGTAATACTTTAAATAACGACCTAGAATTTAACTCATATATTCTGCAAACATTACTGACCTTTTGGTGTTATTCGTAAAACTTTAAATAACGACCTGGAATTTAACTCATATATTCTGCAAACATTACTGACCTTTTGGTGTTATTAGTAATACTCCAGATAACGACCTGGAATTATACTCATATATTCTGCAAACATTACTGACCTTTTGGTGTTATTCGTAATACTTTAAATAACGACATTAAATTTAACTCATATATTCTGCAAACATTACTGACCTTTTGATGTTATTCATAAAACTTTAAATTAGGACCTAGAATTTAACTCATATATACTGAAAACATTACTAACCTTTTGGTGTTATTAGTAATACTTTAAATAACGACATGGAATTTAACTCATACATTCTGCAAACATAACTGACCTTTTGGTGTAATTAGTAAAATTTTTAATAACGACATGGAATTTAACTGATATATTCTGCAAACATTACTGACCTTTCGGTGTTATTCGTAATACTTTAAATAACGACCTGGAATTTAACTCATATATTCTGCAAACATTACTGACCTTTTGGTGTTATTAGTAATACTCCAGATAACGACCTGGAATTAAACTCATATAATCTGCAAACATTACTGACCTGTTGGTGTTATTCGTAATACTTTAAATAACGACATGGAATTTAACTCATATATTCTGCAAACATTACTGACCTTTTGGTGTTATTCGTTAAACGTTAAATTAGGACCTAGAATTTAACTCATATATACTGAAAACATTACTGACCTTTTGGTGTTATTAGTAAAACTTTAAATAACGACCTGGAATTTAACTCATATATTCTGCAAACATTACTGACCTTTTGGTGTTATTAGTAATACTCCAGATAACGACCTGGAATTATACTCATATATTCTGCAAACATTACTGACCTTTTGGTGTTATTCGTAATACTTTAAATAACGACATGGAATTTAACTCATATATTCTGCAAACATTACTGACCTTTTGATGTTATTCATAAAACTTAAAATTAGGACCTAGAATTTAACTCATATATACTGAAAACATTATTAACCTTTTGGTGTTATTAGTAATACTTTAAATAACGACATGGAATTTAACTCATACATTCTGCAAACATAACTGACCTTTTGGTGTTATTCGTAAAACTTTAAATAACGACATGGAATTTAACTCATATATTCTGCAAACATTACCGACCTTTTGGTGTTATTCGTAATACTTTAAATAACGACCTGGAATTTAGCTTATATATATTCTGCAAACATTACTGACCTTTTGGTGTAATTAGTAAAACTTTAAATAACGACCTGGAATTTAACTTATATATTCTGCAAACATTACTGACCTTTTGGTGTTATTAGTAATACTTTAAATAACGACTAGGAATTTAACTCAAATTTTCTGCAAACATTACTGACCTTTTGGTGTAATTAGTAAAATTTTTAATAACGACCTGGAATTTAACTGATATATTCTGCAAACATTACTGACCTTTTGGTGTTATTCGTAATACTTTAAATAACGACCTGGAATTTAACTCATATATTCAGCAAACATTACTGACCTTTTGGTGTTATTCGTAATACTTTAAATAACGACCTAGAATTTAACTCATATATTCTGCAAACATTATTGACTTTTTTGTGTAATTACTTAACTTTTAATAACGACCTGGAATTTAACTCATATATTCTGCAAACATTACTGACCTTTTGGTGTTATTAGTAATACTTTAAAAAACGACATGGAATTTAACTCATATATTCTGCAAACATTACTGTCCTTTTGGTGTTATTTGTAATACTTTAATAACGACCTGGAATTTAGCTCAAATTTTCTGCAAACATTACTGACATTTTGGTGCTTTTCGTAATATTTTAAATAACGACCTGGGATTTAACTCATATATTCTGCAAACATTACTGACCTTTTGGTGTAATTAGTAAAACTTTAAATAACGACCTGGAATTTAACTCATATATACTGAAAACATTACTGACCTTTTGGTGTTATTAGTAAAACTTTAAATAACGACCTGGAATTTAACTCATATATTCTGCAAACATTACTGACCTTTCGGTGTTATTAATAATACTCCAGATAACGACCTGGAATTATACTCATATATTCTGCAAACATTACTCACCTTTTGGTGTTATTCGTAATACATTAAATAACGACCTGGAATTTAACTCATATATTCTGCAAACATTACTGACCTTTTGATGTTATTCATAAAACTTTAAATTAGGACCTAGAATTTAACTCATATATACTGAAAACATTACTAACCTTTTGGTGTTATTAGTAATACTTTAAATAACGACATGGAATTTAACTCATACATTCTGCAAACATAACTGTAATTAGTAAAATTTTTAATAACGACCTGGAATTTAACTGATATATTCTGCAAACATTACTGACCTTTTGGTGTTATTCGTAATACTTTAAATAACGACCTGGAATTTAACTCTTATATTCAGCAAACATTACTGACCTTTTGGTGTTATTCGTAATACTTTAAATAACGACCTGGAATTTAACTCATATATTCTGCAAACATTACTGACCTTTTGGTGTTATTCGTAATACTTTAAATAACGACCTGGAATTTAACTCATATATTCTGCAAACATTACTGACCTTTTGGTGTTATTAGTAATACTCCAGATAACGACCTGGAATTAAACTCATATATTCTGCAAACATTACTGACCTGTTGGTGTTATTCGTAATACTTTAAATAACGACATGGAATTTAACTCATATATTCTGCAAACATTACTGACCTTTTGGTATTATTCGTAATACTTTAAATTAGGACCTAGAATTTAACTCATATATACTGAAAACATTACT